TCATACTGCTAGGCTGCCAACTTCAAGCTGCTAAGCTGACAACTTCAAGCGGCTAGACTGCTTACTTCAAGCTGCTAGACTGCCTACTTCAAGATGCGAGGCTACGAACTTCAAGCTGCTAGGCTGCCAAAAGCTGCTAGGCTGCCTACTTCAAGCTTCTAGACTGCCAACTTCTAGCTGCTAGACTGCCAACTTCAAGCTGCTAGGCTTCCTACTGCAAGCTGCTAGGCTACCAACTAGGCAAACACCATGTTCTCTAAGCTCGAAGTAGTAACTTTATTTTCTGTATTTATAAGATCAGTTGTTTTGCACTAGAATAGGTTTTTATTTTGTTACGCAAATAAAACAAATCAGGATAACAAACCGGTTAGTAAATGCTGTAATGCATTTTCTAATATTTAAACTGTTCACAATAAACTGTAAACAATTTTACATTATTTAAACTGTTCACAGTAATTAATTTATGTTAAATAAAACAGATTGCTGATGAAGGTGTTTTAGAGATGAAATACGAAAAGAATGTTTAAATTCAAAATGGACATCAAATATCCCTTTAAATCAAACAAAAATAACTGATATGTTTATATAAAAATTTATACACCATTGAAGAAAAAACATAAATATGTTTTCACATATTGTTAATGATTAGAATATCCGTTACATTTATAACACTTGATAATGAATATTAACAAAAATGAATGTCGAGAGTTAACGTCTTACAATTAGATTTAAATACTACAGGAGAAAAGTTTACTTACTTCTTAACTTTACTCTATAGCTGCAGGTAATGAAAATAATGTCAGCCCGTCTTCTGTCTAGCCTTCTTACTATAATAACACCTGAATTTTGTGAAAAATAGATGTGACAAATATAGTTGTGAAATAGTTTACAGACACAACTTATCTGCTGCAGTCGGTGCTCCATATAAGCTCTCGTACAAAAACATTATAAATATATTTTACGCATTTTATGATTTTGTTGTAAATTTTGACATTGTTTCTTTAAGTGAAACTTGACAAAAAAATAATAATTTCCGTCACATGCTGCGGTTCGGGTTGAAATATCCGTCCCGAGGGTACCCGCCCACTGGGCGGTAACGAGGCTTGCCATTATACCATTATATTTTAAATTCTTTACCTTAATAAAACAATTTTCCATGAGAATTTATGTCATTACACACGTAACCTTTATGTAATTACAGCTTCATTCATAACGTCATCTTAAGCATGTCATTGTATAGCACGCATACCCCATGCCAGATTTAATGTCCAGCTTAATTGACAAGACTGTATGCTCGAAGCCTCTGTTTTCAAATTTTGTAGTACAAGACAAGACAATTTGTTTATTAAAGTATTTTAATTGTAACAAAGTTATAAAAGAAATACGTGTACAAAACAACTAAGAACATGGTTATAAATAAAATATAAAAAAAAAAACATTTTAAAACAATATAAAAAATATTGTTTAAAAGCTGAAATATGTGGCAGCAATAATTTTTTTATAACAAGTATAAAACAAACGCATTATAAGAAGTATTCAAATTTTGATTATGATACATCTGTACAGAGTAATATTAGCCATTATATAATAACTTGCACCTCACACATAATATAAGCATGCTTTGGCAGAATATTAATATTTTCACTTTATGGCAAATATGTGAATTTCTCATTAACACTATAAATTAGAAACGTGTCATTTGTTTTGCAAACGTCGATATAAAGGTACATTTTGACAAGGACATGGAGCCCATCTTCAAATTAAAACATGTTTTCTAATTAATTTTCAAGGTTTTTAACGATCAGTCTCAATTTTTAAGGGAGCAACTACACATCTATATTTGGATAATGTGCAACTATAATGTCTTTTGATTACAATTATTTCTGAATTTACATAATAATCTGTTTTGAAATATTTTTAGTTAGTTTATAAATGTCTTAGTTTGTTGACATTTGTTCGTCCGCTAACACAGGTAGTTGAACTTATTCTTCTTAACCAATCATTTTTGAAATCAAGAAACAATTTGTCTTGCAACGAGTTCGTAGTGTTTGATATATCTCTGGCTGATTATAGTATTTGTTAAATAACAAAAAAAATAAATATCTAGACACTTTTGTGTTAAAGTATTCATTTCATAACACTTATTTCGTATACTATACGACCACTTTAATACATGATTATTAAGTTTTGACGATGACATATTATTTTACTTAAACCAATGTCTGAGCGCAGATAGCCATTTCCGAGAGGGTGGCCATCCCAAGTCGCCTGTAACTGCATCGCTCGGAGTATATTTGCCAAGATACACCAAGTTGCAGGAACGATGGTGAACAGTGTTGATCGCTAAGTACTATCGGGTTCCCAATATTCCCATATTGCTGCTCCATAACTGGCCAGTTGATCACTGGCACTCAATATTGTGGTATAATTTACTATACTAGTAAACTGCATACAACAATCCATCCATGAGTTTGAATTTACTGAGCACGAGTAGCTGATTGCGCAACGTATTTTGCTATTTTTACGTAATCTAAAGATTCATTCAGCATCAAATGTTTTGCGCTTCACAGTCTGTTTTGTTACCATTTAAGGTGAAATAATACTCGGTTTGCTGGATAGATGGGTTACGGAAATGCATGACTTTAGTTATGTCAATTATTAAACGCATTATGTTCTCAATATATCATTTGTCATGCTCATTTATAAGCGATTGAAGTTCAATTTCATGTTCAGCGACAAGTACCAAATCATTGGCGTATAACAGGTGACTTATATTTTTTCCATCGATTTTATTCCTATATTCATGTGATCAAGCTTTTCACTAAAGTCATTAATGTGCATGTTGAAGGCCGTCGTAGACAGGAGACATCCCTGCCTTAAACACATGTCAACGTTGAACCAGTCGGTGATATAGTTATTTACATGTATGGCCAATTTCACGTTTTTATTTGTTAGTTTGTTTGTGTTTGAACATAGACACTTAACTGGACACTACTATTGTTAACATAAGAATATTTAAAAGAGGTTAGAAAATGTTTTTACAAGTTTAGAAGGAACTGTATCAAAATGTTCTGAAAGTGAATTAACTTGGTTTATATCTATTTCGAAACTGCGAAAGATCATGACATTTATGTTTTATATAATGATTATTTAATTGCGTTTAACATATTTTCTCTAATTCGAATTTTTTAAATTTCGTCCAGTACACTATTTATATTCCTTTTCACCATATTGTCCTATCCACGTTGATTTACTGAAATAAATGAAATATCTTATACTTTTTATGAAAAACTAAAAGCATGTTTAGTAAAAGTACATGTAATACAAGCAATACAAGGTATAGAACGCATAAAACCCCTTGGTTGAAGTCGCTACGCGAGACTTAAGGACTTTGAATAAATTGAACAGACAAACCGAGTTTGCAATTTTCATATGATATTTTAAATGTGTCCCTTTTGTTTATTCTTTCTGCTTCTCAGTATGCCTAAAATTTTTGGCACTAAGCCCAAAGATGTCAAAACACTTCCTTTGACTGCGTTATTTATTTCAATCGTTTAATAAAACAATCCAAAACCTGGACCCATTTCGATACTATTCAATTAATCATAATTATATAATGTAATTATAAAGACCTTTAAAAAATACACTCAATATAGGTTTAAAGTACCAAGATGGAACCTGGGAAATGCCAAAAATAGTTTGTTGTTGTGATAAATGCTCCCGAGCGATCACGTTTAATCCAGATTTTATACTTCACAACAGCAGGTGTCAAGTGCCCTCTGGCAGCTGTAAAAGTTGCCCCGTACATCACTTCAGTGTAGTGGCCATGCAGTGTGACCATTCATGCCAGCACAGTTCCAACAGGGTTACTTTTACAAAACCAGCTACTACACATCATGCTGATCAGGGGAGTCTGCTTTTGATGGGTTTGCTACCCATGCCACCCAGACCTACATGGCAATCATGCCTACAAAAGTCCTGGCAAAGAGGGACGACTCTTGAAAAAAATGTAAAAGAATGAGCACAAACGTTCATTCATGCCTTTTCAATCAGAAGGCAAAATAAACGCAAACGCTACATTAAGTACCAATGAAATGTCAAGAATTGACATGTTTAAATGAAAAAAATAAGCTCGTGTAATTATCGAATTGAGTAACCTGACAGAAAAATCACTCCAAAAATGCGTTCGATAGCCAATTTGGCATTATCAGTGTTCCCTACTTCTGTGCAAGGATTAGTTATAACTAAAGTTTCCAATTTTACTGGTGGTACTAACCAATTTATTGCTTCAGATCTTTTGCCTTTTTTGCATATGCAAATAATGGGAGATGTTACTTTGTAAAGGCACAATTTGAAAATTTCCAAAGCAGTAGCATGTCTGTTAGTTATATTCCTATCATTATCAAATAAAGGAACACAAATTTAAATGTCATTGCGTCAACGCAACGATGGCCTTTTAAAAAGATGAATAAACAATGGAAAGCAAAACTGATGGCTTTTAATTCACATCAAAATAAAGTTTTCAGACTTCAGATTTTGACTTATTAGTTTGACAAATTACCCCAGAATCACTTTTAACAACAGTCCAAGTGGCATAAAACTAGCATAAAAGCATGTCCAACGTTGATTCCAGATCTTGCATTAAGTCAAGAGACCCTGATTCATTTTATACTGTAAGATATAAATACTGCAGTGTCATTTGAAATGTATAAAATTTCTAACTGAAGATGCATGACTTCAACTCTGTCAAGCAATTAAATTGTTGGCCAGAAAGCTTCTCAAATAGCTATCCCGATTCTCTCTGCATATGTAACCACATGATCCGCTCATTTCGCAATTCACTGAAAAATACATTAAAGCCATGCACTAACTTTTGTAACAACACAGCATGTGTTCATCATGTTATTTTTAAATACAATATTGAACACATATGATATAAACTTCTTTGTCGCTCTTATATTCCATGATAAAAAACAAAAAATAAACAACAAGAAACAATGCTATTTTAAAGCGTCCATATGTTTTAGTAAACAAATGAAATGTATCCTACATGTTAAATGCATATTACATAGGTAAAGAAACAAGATGAGATATAAAAACTTTATATCATGTATATTATTATAATACACGTGTGTACATTATACGACAGGAAAGATTCCTCTATGTTGTCTGTTCCTTCTGCATATGACCAACATACGATCAACCATATAATTAGGTGTTACTTAAGTATACAGTAAAATTACTGTATAAGAACAAACATCTTCCTAAAACTGTACAAAGAAAAATATGCCTTGACCAACTTTATTTTTGGTGTTTCATAAAAAATATTTTCATTTAAATGATATATATATTTGTTTCAAACGAGCACCTACTGGTTGTCTTGACAGAATATAAAAAATTCACTGTAGTTATGTCCTTTTTAAGCGTGATGTAGTCTTTTGAAGGTAGAATCGAGCATCATTTTGAATGACCTCACTCGGACTGGTAGTTTAAAAGTATTAACAAAAAATCTCAAAATTCAAAGTTGCCTTCTAACTTTGGTTTATAAGCAAAACAATAAGGTGAAATTGTTGCAATAACTTTGCAAAACTATTTTATTATGCTACCCGGTCTACGTCCCTAACAATTAAAGACTTGATTTATTAGTTTTAACATATATTTTTCTGCACGATTGTGGCTGGGCCTTATCTGAGCCCGTTTCTTGACCAGGTACTTACTTTATAAGAACAAACACTATCATACTATTATTAGGCCTCGAAGCTTTATGATCCCTGTGTTAAAAGGTAAAACCTTTTAGCACGTACACCTAAACTACAACAAAATATGAAGGACAAGTAAAACATCTCTGTATTTCGCATTTTGTAACAGGATTATGTGCTTTCCAGGAAACAATCTACGTTGATTATAACAGCCATTACGTCTCTTTCTTTGTGAATGTAGAAAAATGGTTACGATTTATACGGTATTCCACTATTGTCAGGTTGGTAGTACTGTTCATACGCGGGCGGTGGTCCCCACTGCGCCTGCATCGGTATTGGTGCCAAGCCTACTGGTTGTTGACCACCAAATGTACTTCCGTGCTGAGGAACATGAATTTGACCTCGAGGTGTATAATAAACTTGTGTTTCAGGCAGCGGTGATCTGTGCGAGTACAAGTCGTAGAAAAAGAGAGGCGTGCACACAAATATACAGAGAAATCCCGCAATAATACAGAGAATATAGGCATAACTTAATTTTCCCACGGGAATTTCATCGTAGATACGGCTGGCAGATGTATTAAATGCGTCCAAAGATTCCCTAGACTTGATGCCAAACAAGGTCAGACCAATGAAAATCAACACACCTGAAATAGATATTGAACAAGTAATCAATATATCTAAACAAATTAGTAACTTGATACATATTTGACATGGTAAAATCGACCAATACAAATTTCAACATAGAAAGTTATAGTTATGTTGATGATTTAATATTTTTCCTAAAGGATACTAGTGTAATACTATTGCTATCCAACCTTGTTATTGTTTCAAGCACAGGAGTGATTCAGAATAAAACCAACAACTGTTACCCGTTTGCTGATTAACTTTCTCAAATGAAACTCAAAATTATAAATGTTTTAAAAATGAGATTATGTTGACTATACACATTATATAAAAACCTATCATTTAATATAAGATAATTTACCTGACAATATCATACAGCAGATGTTAAGAGTCTTGTGGCGTTTGTTTTGTTTGTAGAACAGCATGAATGCAGATATAAACACCGATAAAACCAGACCAATGAGACCAAGTGTTTCTGTAGCTTGCACAATCTTAAACCATTCTGTTATGATATGTAATAATAATATATAAAACTTAAGAACAAATATATACATATTATAAATTTAGTAAGGGAACAACCTTATATGGATCATAATGTTAGTAGGATTAAGAGGAACAACGTTATATAAATCATAAATTTTGTAGGGGAACAATCTTATATGGATCATCAAAATGTTTTCCAGAGCAAACATCTATTCGCGTCATAAAGAGAATGAATTTTATGGTGAGCTTTCTTATTCCAAATAATTTCAATTCAATATTAAAAAGTCGAAAGACTTAACAATGGCAAAGCCATACCTGTTTTGACCGGGGCAAATTATAGGGTCCGGGGGCGTGCCCCCCGCCGGATTTTTTTCTTAGCTAGACCGTCTCTGATACGTTTTGGAGCACTCTTTGACAAGTTTTTTTGTCATTCTTAATTTAATCAGCTTGATACCATATTGGTAAATTTTCATACATTAGAAAACAAACAAGAAAATTTAATGTTCTTTACCAGATTTGCAATACATAAATTTAATTTATTTAAAAGGTCAGGTAAAGATTCATGAAAAGACCAAGGCATTTCTTCTGTTTCCAGGAGAATCCAGGTGACATTTGTTTATGAGTATCAAAGCTTGAAAATTCATGATACACGAGATTTTTCGTCCAATACCAAACATTGAAATACATAATTTACGCATGGTTGCTGGCTACATTTGAATAAAACATCGAGTTTTATTTCTATAATGTTTGTGTACTTCAAGAGCAAGTTGAGCAAGTTAATATGCCACAAACAAAATAACTAAAAAAGATAGCACTGCACAGAAAATCAAAACATAAATATTATCTAAATAATTTGCCTACCGATTTACAAAATATGTGTTTTCTCTTAAATAAAGTAATTCATACTATGATTATCTTGACTTCAGGAATTAATTTACATGTAGTTAAATGTCAGGCATATCTGACATTTACAAGAGCCGGCCACAGTTTTCTCTTTCATTGGTTTTATAGCTTATTTAACCAGCTACTTTTATTATTCCATCTACTACCGGATCTTGACAGACATATTTCCGTTATCATTTCAATCACGTTGGGATTATATTTTGCGATAAAAAAAATTGCATCCTGAAAGGCAATTTATGTATATACACAAAACTTATTTTGTGTTCGTTATGAAATAGTCGGAGCTTCTAACAGAAACAAACCAATTCTTATATTTTACACGGTGTATCGTGAAAATGAAAACTTTTTTTATTTATTTGATATATATTTATATAGGAACAGTTAAATCAATTGTTTCTTTTAATATTGTATATATTCGCACAGGACATTTCTATAAATTGTTTTCAGAATCCACCCGTTACGCTTTTAGTTTATAAAAAGGGTAGGGTAGTTTTTTTTTACATTTTATGCAGTTTATATATTACATATAAACAGTTCTTATTATTAATTATCAGCATCAATCTTTCGAATTATGAATCTAATTCAACTTAATTTGACAAAGGAAAAAAATAGCATAATGTCAATTATTTAATTTTAAAAATCTTAAAATCATTTGTCCTAGAATTATTACCTGGATCATTTGTCCTTGAGACACAAAGGCACGCACCAGATTTTATAACGGAAGCACATACGCAGTGTTGCCAGAGACCGCCGTGATATGCAGATTCGGGGTAGCGCAGTCTAAAATTTATTTCGAATGTAATCCATCTTGGTATAGAAAATCCAATTATGTGAACTATCATAATAACTAACAATATTAAAAAGCCGATTTTCAGACTCACAGAACTTGTAGAAAATGTATTATTCGCCATTTTTTTACGTATTAGTTCCGGCAACGAAAAATAATCAGTTAACTCACAGCGCCACTATTACTCAACTACGCATTTTGCATTTTCTGAAAATATACACTGTTAATATTCGGAATGTTTCCGGGATAACTGAATTCAGGTTGCAGTACGTCTTGCAGTTATCTATCAACTCTGATGTTTATGTGTAGTAGAAGCTTGTACATCAGAAACTTATATACCAACACGCCATATGAATTCTATAATCACCAGTGTAGTTTGTAAACAAATACACACTGTTTCTTTTGTAAAATATGAACAATCGAGATTTTCAAGATCCTGTTTTGTGAATTAATCTATGTTGGGAAGATCGTACTTGGGATGACTTGTTTTTATAATATATAAAAGATAAATAGTAGTACTTATTATTAGATAAACATATAAAGTGGTAGAAAGATGAGTACAAATCAATTCGTAATATAATGCTTTTCATCTGTAAATAAAAAACAGTAATCTCAATTTAACCAAAACTCAATAATTTCACCATTATAGTCAAGGTCACCAGTTTGTCAAAAAATCATAATTCAACATTTCAGTTTTGTCATAGAGATCATTTGGTCCAAGTGTCAGTTAAATTCATAAAGTTATAAGAATGTTATAACAATTTGATTAGGGTTGTATTGTTAATTTATGAAGTCAATCTAAATATAAATTACGAAGTTATAGCCAGTACAAGTGACTATCGAACAGTGATTTAAAGTTACATTTAATAAAAACCAAGCATTCTATAGTTTCATTAGGGCCACGCATGACCAATTTATTTTTGTAAATACGTACTCATAAACTTTATCCTATACATACGTATAATGCGGAAATATACCGTAAAAATTCGGACTGCTTATTGATTTTCTTTTGATGTACGGATGACCCAAACGCGGAGTCTCATGCCAATAGAAATTGTGCTTCCGATTTTTCCACAATGAGGTTCTTATAAAACTCCCTTTTGTTGTTTTGACACCAAAACAAGAACAGGAATCAATATGAAATTTATTTAATTAACGCCATGCAGCTATTTTTTTTTATGAAATTTTATTTGATTTAAAGAGCTTTAGTGTGAACGGTTACAGCGGCAACAACGTTACATTGGTATATTAAGTCTCTCAATTCCCAGATATTGGGTTATGTTTACCAGATGAGAAGCACGTGTAATTTATCAGTTAACTTTCTGGCATGTACACAGGCGTGTTTTTCGTAGATCAATATGAAGCCAGAAACAGAACGTTGTTCAGTGGAGATTTAATCATAGTCCAGGAATGTGTGTGGATTCTAGATAAACAATGGCAATTAGAGAACTCTCTTCTAGTTCTAGCAGTCTTAAATCTGCAACAATTATTTTACTTGTTGTGCTAGTTATTCATATAGTTGGATTTTCTTTACCAAGATGGATTTCTGTAGAATTAACACTTACACAACGTATGGAACATATGGAAGGACAGACCATCGAAACCGGCTATCATGTCGGTCTCTGGCAACATTGTGCATGTGCAAACTTTCTCGACTCCGGTGCATGTCTTTGTTTCTCCAGAACAAATGATCCAAGTAAGCGTTTATTTTTATCTGAAATAATTATTTACTTCTTTTAAAGTTATATGTATACAAACGTTTGCATTGAGCTAGTGTAAATAATGAATTTTGGAACGCCTTTTTATCTTAAACTCTATTATGCATTGATTTATCGTGTGTAATTAAACATTCGATTACCAACAATCATCACTCATATCTAAAGTTCAATGGAGGATGTTGAAAGTTTGTGATTTGTAATCAATACACTTTACATTGATTGATTCTTGTAGTATTATCATACATAAAGAACTTGAACTGACCCTATGTATAATGCTTGTTTGCGCAAGCTCCGTATTTCTAGTAAATATCTAAGATCACATGTAACGGCTTTATAGAATAAATTTATATCTTGTGATGAAGAATAGTCGTGTTTTATTTACTTCAATGTATCAATGCACTTAATTTATTTTCTATTAATTATTGTTCATTAATAAACGAACATTACAACAGATTCTATGTTGATTAATAATCTCTGCATATTTAACAAGAGGTTTACTCGTGAGATTACTATCTCAGAAGCTCACTGATGATAATCAAGTTTATATTTATTATTTATTTTTATTTATTTGTCGGGTAAAATACTAAGTAAATCAGAAACAACCTTTGAGAATATATCAGAAAGAAATAATATTTTGATATTTTTCAGAGCGAAATAATCTGTTACAATTTTTCACAGAAATCTCAATAATCTATTAGTACAAATGTTGCTGCAATGCAGTAATTGAGAAAGATACAGCGGGTATTAATAATAGAACTATATTTCTACAAAATAAAGCAGTGAAAATGATAAAACCTAACATACCTATATGTCAAAATATATCATATAATTATATACATACATTCACTGGGAATTAGCGCGAAAGCATTACTTTAATTCGCTAGCAAGTTATCTAGACTAATAAAAAAGATAATAATAATAATAACACCAACAACATTATCCATTACATATTATCATCACCATCATCATAATCACCACAACCAATAAAAAAAATAATAATATCACCAATAATAATAATAATAATAATAATAAAATAAATAATAAAAACAAGAAAAATATTACATACATTCGTATGTAATATAGGTCGATTGTATACTACTTTTTGTGAAGACTTTATGTTTGCTGAATTAAAGATGTAATGTAAAACGAACAAACATGTCATGAGATATTTTATATCTTTAAAAATGTTCATGGAATGTAATAAATGTATCACCATATTAAAGTTGCATGCTCTCAGATGAGAAAAATGATTTCAAGGAAATCAAAATATGAAAAGAAAATTCACGGTCAATTGACTGCTTTGAAGCATAATCACAAAATAAAAATTACAGGAAATTAAAACCTTTTTAATACACTTAAGGTAGAATTTCATTGTAAATCATAGTCAAAGATTTGAGATATGATTATTTATTCATATTAACCTCATTATTGGTTATATATTGATAAAAAAAACCCGACAGACACAGTTTGTAAATATTTATTAAAAGGTATACGCGCCGAGGTAAGCTATAATTAAAATTCCCGCGCTAAGTCGCGGTGGTGCTTGGGATAATCACTTGATACTGTAATTGGCAGTCATTTTACAATACGAATCCTCGAAAAGTTTATGCTGCCGAAAAGATATGAAAAAATACTTGCAATTCAAAGTTTGTTGGCTACATAAAGATTATCGATTTACTCTTTGCACACTTTTTCTCTGCCTGAGTAAAATAATATTGACGTGTTTTCATTGGCTTAAACCATCACGTTACCAATACACATGTAGGTGTGAACTAATTTCGTGTTCATTAAAATTATTCCGTTAATAGACATATAAAAATCTTATTTACAAATGAATTGATAAAACAACAATCCCAGAAGCATTTAAGATAATAACAATCATTGGAAAAAAATAAATGCATATAACTTGGAAATTTGTGTATGACAACTCAACCCCCTGAGCAAAACATAATAGACTTAACCAAAACAAGCGCCTGCTTCTTCACCTTACTATGTAGTTGCATGACCATGATTAGCAATTTAGCGAACCAAATCTAGAGATAAACCTATTGTAAAAATAATACTATGACCACAGCAGATTTCGTACAGAAAATAAATGAATAGGAGAATATGTAAAACTAATTTATCAAATAAAAACATAAAATGGAAGGGGGAAAATATTTTTTTCAAAATTAAAGGGAGGTAATAAAAACAGCAAAAAGTACAAGAAAAGACAATTTGCATAGAATAAAGAAATATTTGTTACTGTAATGTGACATGACAGTAGCGCAACATTGTTCTATTTGTGTCACTCACTACTGTACATATATAGTCAGTAATATTAGGTGATAAAAAATATGAAAGCATGTACATTTTCTTTTCACCTAGAATGGTACTCACTTTCTACAAATATCAACAACTAATCATTGTAGGAAATATTAAAATCCACCTTTAAATAAGCCAAATCGACTTTATTTTTAAAAATGCCCGTTAAATGTTTCGCGCCAAATGGTATATCATGTTAAACAAGAAAGGCATTGATGCAAAGCAAGAAATGCAGCAAGTGACGAAGAACTTGTCAACATCTGATGACCATATAATCTTTTAAACTTTTCTATGCTTAATTGAATTTTACCATAATTGTACATGTATATCATAGATGAATGGGCGGAAAAAAGACATTAATCTTCATAAACTTTGGTCGGCTTGCTAAAAATAAAAATATTAAATGTATTTTCTTTTAAACATACAAAACAGTAGTCAAATTGAACAAAGTCTGGTTTTTACTATAATTGTAACAAATATACAAACAGCATATAAAAATAGTAACAATAGAGACTAATATTGTAATATAACAGGCAATTTTCTATCAAATTAAGAAAAAATGGTTTCTTTTGATGCATTGGACTTAAGATACAGTAGTTATATTTTAAGTCTCAAATAAACACACACTGGAATGAAAAATTTGGTATGAATTTCTAATAAACCAAATTCAGAATTTTTTTTGTGATACGCGTTAACAAAAATAAAGATACATTAAAATCATGAATAAATGTGCATGACATGTTGATATATTGAAACATTATACTGTTACCTGTATTTTAGACAGGTATCATACTATGAGTATGAGGAAATTCACTAACATCATGTTCATTCGAGTCAATGATATAAAAGCTACTTGACATACGAGTAGGTTATAAATAAAGAGCTATTGTTATTTGTTTATTGGGGGATGAATCTACTATTTTGTTGAATTGCTTCAAAATCCTCGTCTGACCCACCAGTGTGTTTACATTCCTATTATTGAACATAATAAACCCATAACACCTCGACGAAAGTTTCTGTTGTTAAAATACATGTCGCTGTATTCGGCAAATCAACATATTCCGCTCAAACCACCAAAAAACCGATTGCCTTCAACTTCTAAAAGCAAAAGTCGGGACACCAGGGTGGATTTAGATAATCAGGGGAGCTATTAATTAACTTTTACTTTTTTTCAATAAGTTATAAAGGGTGCAATTTATTGTTGAATATGTTTGCATTTCATTCTGCAAAATTCTCCAGTTCGTTCAATTACCATAACTGTTACGGACTTATCTATTTATAGCCTTGTTCCCGTTCTCATTCATAAATATGACATGCTGCAAATCACCGAGGGAGAGACCAATATATGACTTGAAATATAGAAATCGAAAGGATATCGTGCTTCCGAATTTATTTTTAGCTGTAAATCGAAGGGCTTAATTGATAAAATCGGGTCCATGAACCAATAAAAAAGTAAACACAAATTGAAATAGTTCCGCGCCTGTGCACTCACAAAGCATAAATATGTAATTTTATAACATTTGATTGGCGTAACTGTCACGGTATATCGAATACATTTGTATATAAAATCAGGTTTTTAGTATTAAATCTAATAATTTGTGTGTACAGTATTAACAATTTATAGATGTTGATAATATTTTCTTTGATAATATTCCTGACTTTTTTATATTTTCTTTACTAGCGTGGTTCAACATAGTACAGGCTGCGGAAACCCTCGGACTTATTGGACTAGTTGTGTCTATGTTATTGTCACTGACCACGTTGTTCTATCAAAAGAACAAGAAGTTTATGATAGCCAACGTCCTGATTTTACTGGTCTCAGGTAATTGATAGAATACATGTATAAACATATAGTTTAGAAATGACGGGGTCAATATTAACAGCCTCTCGACTTTTTCCGTCAAATTCCGGTGAAGAATTGTATTGCAGTCATAAAGCGACTTTATTATGCATTAATTTTCTTGTTACAATTTCTTGTTAAATAGGTAGAAAAGTAGAAAATTACTAAAAAATGCTAAAAAGCAAAAATTGAAAAATGTTACACGGACGGCACGGTGGTAATGCAAGATAACGTCCATGCACGTCCCCTATCATCGGCTTAAGCAACATTCAATATTTATGCAATTTCGAATTTAGAAATATCCACAGATGTGCACATATGCTTATTTCATTGGATTTTCGTGGTACTACTACTATGTTTTAAAAAATAGAATTGATAAGAAATCGTATTGCCCTTTCCTATATATCATCAAACATATTTTGGCAGGCAGATGTAATCAAATTACATAATGAAAATTCCAAGTGTCACATTATGTATTTTACAGAAATGGCTCATCGGTTAAAACAGAAATACTCTCCTCTTAGTAGCTTCTCTTTAACGATAAAAAATAACTTAAAAGAAGTATTTTCATATAATATAGTTGACTAAAATTGTAGATATATTTTCATTTCAGGTACATTGATGGTGGTTGGTTTGGTCGTTTTCAAAGTCAAAACGGATACATTTGAGTTATTTAAAGACTTGGGTAAAATTGATACATCAGTAATGGAAATCGACCAAGTTCACGCCAAGCTTAATTACGCTTATTTCCTGTGTGGTGTTGCAGGCTGCCTTAGTATACTCGTGTGCGCGCCTCTCTATGTGAAAGATTTATGTTCTTATACCCCCGACACATTGAATGAATCTGCGGTACAATATACAGCTCAAGGTCAATGCCTTGTACAAGGAAATATGGACAGCGGATATATGAGAACCTCGGATGAACAATATGGATTTCCACCAGCTTACGAGCAGCGTTATGTGCCGAACAATGCTGAACTGCCCTATAAATCATAACGTGAACAGTGCAGAACTGCCCTTTAAATCATAACGTTCTCAAGCGCATACATTCACGTTTTATAAATGCCTTGTAAGTAGCAAAATTACACATGTATTTTAATACCTTTAAAATAATATAGTTTATCATGGTATCACCGTAATTACAGGACGGTGCCTTACGTGCTTGTTGTAGTTTAGAGAAGGGCATCGTTAGACTTAGTATCCACGTAGACAATAACAATTACGCCAATATTTGACGCTATGTATGCAAATTAGCAAATGTTCGGATTAAGGCGATAGCGGTGTGGATGCGATACTGTACATTATGTAAATAGTCCACGAGTATGGTCTTCTCATGACGTGTTTAGCTCGAGTTAATAATTACACTATATGAATTGTCCTTCTATATATCTTTTGTGAAAATGCATAAAAATATAAACAAACCCGGAGGGATTTTTTTAAAGATTGTGTGTACATACAGAACGTTGATTCCAATCCCGGCGTCATGATTCGATCAAATATGGACAATCGATCTCCGATGCATGTATAAATAAATCTGTTCATCGTATATAAATAAATATTTGTATATTGACAAAATGATGCGTGTTCTTCTGTGTTTATATTATAATAGTGAATTGCTAGTATCGTTTGACTTCTGGTACTATTGGAATTGTGTCAGAGTTAAATTCAACTGTAGATGCTTCTAGGAATACTTTCATGTAAATGAACATTATATTTGTGACGAATATTGAATCATACTCGGTTACTTGATTCACAAAGAAATGGACAATTATAAATCACGTATGAATGATAATTATTGTTTATAAGTTAGCATTTACAAAATAAAATGGGTCAAAAGCGGCCCTTTCTTTCGACCACTTTAATTAAGAAAAAACTTACTATAGAAATAATAACCAATAATGTGTTTGAAATTATATTTTTAAAACTCGATTTCCTAGACTGATTTAATTTAGCCGATTTACTGAAGTAAGTGTGATAAGATTCATGTGAAATACTGCAATTCAATTATAAAAATAATAATTTCAGACTTTACATATCTTTACAGATACATTCTTCAATAGATCACAACCTGTACTGTGTATGTGTGGTTATCAAATTAGGTCTGTAGTCTGCATATAACCAACAACAAGAATGTCTATAAGATGAACCATATAATTAGGTGCTGTATAATGTAATTATGGTTGTAACCTGGTGGTGGTGACGGTGTTGATAGTTTCCGCTCCAAATCACTGCAGTAAGCCACATGAATTCACCAAAGCACAGTTCAACCACTGCATCGTTCCTGGGCATCTTGTCAAGCAGTTAACCAGTCCAAGTTGCCTTCACTTTCGAAAGGAACTGGAACTTTTGTACATGCCAGATAGGGGCGTCCGTGGCCGAGTGGTTAAGGTCGTTAACATCAAATCACTTGCCCATCACCGCTGTGGGCTCGAATTCCGACAGGTACTTTGGATTATTTCATGTGTGGAAGCTATTCAGCTAGCTTACGGAACGTCGGTGGTTCTACTCAGGTGCCCGTTCGTGCCTGAAATAATGCACGGAAGGGCACCTGAGGTCTTCCTCTACCAGTAAAGCTGGAACGTCGCCAAATGACATATACTGTGTCGGTGTGACGTAAAACCCAAAACAAACAAACAAACAAACATGCCAGATCAGAGGTGTATAGAGTGACTGGCCGTAGAAAGAATTATGGTTGTGACCTCTCTATAATTTATATATGTGTATGATTATGCTTCTAAAACAATTTTCAAACATCGAAAAATATGTTAAATATGTACTGCAAATATTTGTACTCATTAAAATATATGCATTCATTTCTCATTGAAACAATTGACTAAGGCATAATAGAAAATGAATTTCTGATAACCTCCCTTTATTAACATGAAATTTTAATCTGGTAATATCTTTACAAATAATGCTGTTTTGAACTTACAACATTGATAAATCTTCATCTGATCATTATATCTATGATATAAAAAAAGAAAATTGAGTTACAGGATCTTTCAGTATATAGTACAACTCTGTATCACACAAAAAATCTTCCAAAAATGTATAAAGAAAAAAATTCATAGACAAACTTACTTTTTTGTGTTTCATAAAATAATGCACGCTTTTCATTAAAGATATTTTTATATTTGTTTCATACGAGCACTTACTGGTTGGCTTGACAGAATATAAACAGTTGACTGCAGTAATATCCCCTGTAGGCGTTGGGTAAAATCATTTTGAATGACCTCACTCGGACCTGTTCCCCTCACCCCCCCCCCCCCCTAAAGAAATGCTTTTTCGATTGAGAGTTAAAATGTCCTAATGTAATCAAAAATCTCAAAATACGAAAATTGCCTTCAATCAATTCTTTGAAACTTTTGTTTTACAAGCAAAACATTAAGGTGAAAACTGCTGCAATGAGATTGCTGAACTATTTTATTTTGTTACCCGGTCTACGTCCCTAACAATTAAAATCTTGATTTATTAGTTTAAACATACATTTTTATGCACGATTGTGGCTGAGGCTTATCTGGACCCGCTTAATTAATTCTTTACAAATACTTATTTTATAAAAAAAAAAAGATTGTACTACAAAATAGGCCTCAAAGCTGTATGATCCCTGTACCTAAAGGTAAACCTCTTAGCACGGAATTGCACACCTAAACTACAACAAAATATGAATGACTATGAAAATCACTGATTAAAGTATTTCGCATTTTGTAAGAAAATTGTGTGATTTCTAGGTGTTAAGATCAAAGAACAATCTACGTTTATTTTAACAGCCAATACATACATATCATTATATGTTAAATTATACGTAACATAACGGAGAAAACTTTGGAGTTATAATAAATAATTACAATTTTATTAGTTTGATCAATGTTCTCTTAACAATGATTTTCATTTTTTCGTTTTGTTTTATAGGTGATGAAGCCTTGTTTCTATGACTGCTAGATGAATCTAGAACGATATGATGAACTCGTCAACTACAACAATACTTTTTTACTGTCTTATTTACTGACGCGAACGTTTTTCTAAGAATTAAAATATGTTCATTATAATTTGTTATAAGAAACGACTCTTCTTTGAAAATGTAGAAAAATGGTTACGATTTATACGGTATTCTACTATTGTCAGACTGTTCATACGCTGGCGGTGGTCCTCACTGCGCCTGCTTCGGTATTGGTGCCAAGCCTACTGGTTGTTGACCAACAAATGTATTTCCATGCTGAGGAACATGAATTTGACCTCGAGTTGTATAATCAACTTGTGTTTCAGGTGGTGGTCTGTGCGAGTACAAGTCGTAGAAAAAGAGAGGCGTGCACACAAATATACAGAGAAATCCCGCAATAATACAGAGAATATAAGCATAACTTAATTTTCTGACAGGAATTTCATCGTAGATACGGCTGGCAGATCGGGTAAATGCGTCCAAATGTTCCCTAGATTTGATCCCAAACCAGGTCAGACCAATGAAAATCAACAGACCTGAAAGAAATATTGAATGTTTTATCAATATATCTCAATAAATTAGTAATTAAATATATGTTTGACATGGTAGAATCGGCCAATACAAATTTTAACAAATTTTAAGAAAATTATACTTGTTTATGCTTTGATATTTCGATCTTTTAATTCTCCTTTCAGATCATTAAAAGGATACTAGTTTAATACTATTGGTATCCTAATTTATAATTGTTTCGAGCACTGGCATGAATCAGAATAAAACCAAAAACTTTTAAGTAAAGCGAAACATGTACAATGTATTGATATTTAATATTGTGTTGGTTCTGATATATTTGTCTTATTATATTGACTTATATATAATATACACATTGTATAAAAACTTTTATAAAAACATTTAAGAGATAATTTACCTGACAGTATCATACAGCAGATGTTAAGAGTCTTGTGACGTTTGTTTTGTTTGTAGAACAGCATGATTGCAGATATAAACACCGATAAAACCAGACCAATGTGACCAAGTGTTTCTGTAGCTTGTACTGTCTTAAACCATTCTGTTATGATATGTAATAATAATATATAAAACTTGAGAACAAATATATACATGTACAATTAAACCTTATCAACCCTATTTGGAATTTAGTAGTGGAACAACCTTATATGGATCACCAAAATGTTTCACGGAGTTAACATCGTAAAGATTATGAATTGAACTGTGCGTTTTCCTAATCCAAATCCTTGGGTAAAAGTGTGTCAAACACAACTATGTATGGTGGCTGATTTGGAACGCTTTCGTGCGTCTAGTTGGCGCTAGCGACAACACAACAATTAAAGCGCCAAACGGCGCATTGTTGCACTGTCGTCTTGTCTCTATCGCGGCATGCCAAACGGCGCGTTTTGTCATTCTGTCGCCAACGACAACATTTCAAAGCGCCAAACGGCGCATTGTCGCACTGTCGTCCTGTCTCTATCGCGGCATGCCAAACGGCGCGTTGTCGTGCGGCGCATTGTCTCGATATCGCCCTGTCTTTTGGCTTATAAGCCAGTCCTTCAATTTGAACCGAGTGACAATGTGACATCGCGACATTGCGTGCCGCGCTAGAGACAGGACAACAAGACGACAGCGCGACAACGCGCCGTTTGTCACTTTGTCCTGTTGTCGCTAGCGCCAACGACACGCACAAAAGCGCACCAAATCAGCCATCATAACTATGACCAAGTGATGATGTGGAAAATGCCCTGATAACAGTGTTAAAGATACATACGAAAACTTGATTTATAATTTTCATGAAAAAAAACATCATATTTGAATGGAACTTTTTAAAATTCATGACGTTGTAAACATTAGATTTTTCGTTAAATACCCACCCTTAAAATCCTTACATACGAATGGTTGCGAGCTATATTTGAGTAAAACATCGAATTGTATTTATTTAATGTTTGTATAATTCAAGAGCAAGTTGAGCTACCATACAAAAGCAAGTAAACCTACCACAAACAAAATAAATATAACAGAATATCAAAACATATTTTTTGAATAATTTGCCTACCGATTTACAAAATATGTGGCTTCTCTTATATAAAATTATTCATACTATGAATATCTTAACTTCTGGAATTAATTTACATGTAGTTAAATGTCAGGCATATCTGCATGACATTTACAAGAGCCGGGCACAGTATTCTCTTTCAGTAGGTTTATAGCTTATTAACATTTAACCAGCTACTGTTTATTATTCCATCAGCTACCGGATCTTGATAGATATATTACCGTTATCATTTCAAACACGTTGGGATGGTTCATTATTTTGCGATAAAAAATTACATCCGGAAAGTACATTTATATAATTTTTATGTATATATACGCTGTTTTAGAATTAACCTTTTTTGTGTCCGTTAGGAAATATTGGGCGGTTCTAACAGAAATAATCCAAATGTTTTACATTTTATAAATTACACGTACAGTGTATCGTGAAAACAAAAACTTTACTATTTTTTTTATTAGATCGATTAGGAACCGTTTGCTCATAAATGTTAACGTTTTGCCATAATTATTTCCAATATCCTACTTTTAATGAATATAATCAAGAACCCACGACGCCCATGAATTTCCTATGAATTGTTTTCAGAATCCATCGGTTAGGCTGTTAGTTGATAAAAATGGTGGGGCAGTTCTTTTACATTTTATGCAGTTTTTATATTATATCCTAAATATTTCTTATTATTAGTTATTGGCCAATCAGCAAAAGTCATTCTTTCGAAATATTAGTCCAACTAGATTGTACTGCGCGACGAGATATTGTGTTATTTTGTGTCAGGGCAATATCTCGACTCTACAAAGAAGCGAGATTCTGGCCCAGAACGAAAGTTTCTCAGAATCTAGCTTTGGCGCGCCGACATATTTTGACTTTCGAAATACATATCAAATTCAATCAAACTGACAAAGGAAAAAAATAGCATTATGTCAATTACTATATTTTTTAAAGTTTAATTGATTTGTTACAGAAATATTTACCTGGATCATTTGTCCTTGAAACACAAAGTCACACATCAGACCTTATAACGGAAGAACATCCGCAGTGTTGCCAGAGACCGCCGTGGTATGAAGATTCGGGTTGGCGCTGTCTAAAATTTATTTCAAATGTAATCCATCTTGGTATAGAAAATCCAATTATGTGAACTATCATAACAACTAACAAAATTAAAAAGCCGATTTTCAGACTCACAGAACTTGAAGAAAATATATTATTCGCCATTTTTTGCGTATTAGATCTGGCAAAAAAGAATCAGTTAACTCACAACGCCACTATCTACTCAACCACGCATTTTGCATTTTCTGAAAATAAACACTGCTAACATTTGGAATGTATCCGGGATCACATTTGCATTGCATTTATCTATCAACTCGGATGTTTATGTGAAGTAAAAGCTTGTACACCAAAGAGGAAAACTTATATATTCCAACACACCATATAAATTCTATAATTATCAGTGTAGTTTGTAAACAAATACATAATGTTTGTTTTGTAAAAAATAGGAAGAATCGAGATTTTTTCAAGATCCTGTTTTCTTAATTCCATTCGATTTTGTTGGGAAGTTCTTGGGACGACTCGTTTTGTTGATCGCTTGTTCATATTATATAAAAGATGAATAATATTATTTATTAGATAAACATATAAAATGGTCAAAATATTAGTATAAATCATTTCGTAATATAATGCTTAAAATCTGTAAATAAATAACAGTAATCTCAATTGCAGCAAACTCAATAATTTGACCAATATGATCAAAAATATGATTAAAAATCCTGTAACACATTATTTTTATGGTTTTATGTGCACATTATGATGCTCAAATTAAGATTTATCGGTATCAAAAAAAAATACATTAATTATAAAGATATTACCGAATTTAATATTTCATGTAAATAAACGGAGGTAATTAGAATTTAGTTTTAGTTGACAAATTTGCATAATTACATACATATATAGTTTAATGAAGAGTGGTATTCAATCTCAATTACAAAACATACAGGATCTTTATCAAGATCAACAAGGGAAGGCGGCGTTCAATGAAAGTCACAATTTTCAGATCAATGGAAAAAAAAGATAATTCAACATTTTGGTTTCTTCATAAATGTCTTTATGTCCAAGAGTCAGTTAAATTCTTAAATATATATCACCCTATAGTCTGATATTACAAAATTTATCAGGCAAGGCTAAGAAATAAGCAAAGACGAGGCTATGCCGTGACATTCATTTTCTTCGTGTCGAGCCTGATAAATTTGTTTGATATTCTATTTTTCATGTTTGCAGTTTGTATGTGATTCTTTCTTTAAATTTCAAATGAAACAAAACATGTCAAGAACCTCTCGAGTTCATGCCGTGCGTAGTTATATAGCAAGGGTCATACATTTTTCTTTAAGAAATAGTCCCAAATGTTTTAGTCAGATGTAAGTGAGAATTTAAAATAAAAAAAATGAATTCGATTCAAAGTTTATCACTTTATTAAATATTTTCAAACTAGTAAAATAGGTAAAATATTCCATTCTCAATATGTATTGATGAGAAGCCTGGTAAAGCTGAATTAAATTTATCAGGCATGCACTTTATCACAGAAATCAATACTTAGAATGGTATAACAATTTAATCTACAATTGTCAAGCTAACATATGTCAAGCTAAATTCTTTAACTTGACCATGGATTTAATCTTACATGTTTGGTGCGACCCAGTATGAATCAAATCCGACAGAAAACATCAAAATAATAACACTTTAAGCTAAAAAGATGATTTCACTTTGATAGGTCATTTAAAAGTAAATGTCATATTTCAATAATTGTTCAATCTGTTGGTTTGGTCACTAGCGTTGGTTTGTTCAAGTATGAACGAAATCCCTAAATAATTAACAAAGTTAGAAAAATTCAATAATTTGACCATAAAGGCCAAGATTGAATAAACGCCAAGTTTCATCAAACTAGAAAGGCCTTGTCCTTAGGGTTGTTATATCAATGTATAAAGACCATTCTTATATAAATTACAAAGGTTTTTTTTTTGCCAATTTAGCGTACAAAAGATAAAATGATATGACCCTTCAGATCAAGGTTATGTTATTTCTGAGTCGATGTTCAGTTTAGTCTTCATAAGGGACTTGTCCCAAAGATTGTTGTGTCCAATTATTAAGACAATTTATTCCTGCATAACCAATTTGTAGCCAATTATAGCAATCAATAAAATAGTAAAAATACCATTATGCATATTCCTGCAGGTGAAGGTCAGCTTGATTTTCTACTTAACATTTTTGTGTCCAAGTGTGAAAACAATCCATTCATAAAAACAAAGTTATTGTCAGTTGTAGCAAAGATTTTTAGAAATGTTAAGTGTAGAAGTGGTGGAGCCTAGTGCTATAATATTAGCTTTCTAATGACGTACAAGCTATATAATTAGGGGGTTCGCACATTTTTTAAATAAAGTAAGCGCGTTCATTTTTACAAAGTTTATATTTCTGTATAGCAGACAGAAAGAAACGGGTTAGATCTATATAATCTACAATGTGATGAGTAATGTTAAAATCAAGGAACTGACTGGAATGACAAACTACCGATATCCTTATCTGTTTTTCCCCACATGTTGAAAATTATATAACTGCATGGGAATTGCAAAGATAATCAAGGGCTTTTTGTTGATTGCAGAGAGTATATTGACAAATGAAAATCTAATTATTATAAGCAATAACATTACTGATAACCGGGCATGATATCAGAAATGTGTGTTCTATATCTATTATCAACCACATCATATTAGTATTCTTCTGGGGGCCGTTTTATCAACGCTGTACGACACGTTGATAAAACGGCCCCCTGGATATGAATTTGTTTATTTCAGCGTTGTACTGGACGTAAAATATAAACGAAACTAGTACTAACGCATTTCTGATATAAAAAAGAAAATTGCTTTTAGTTTTGAGAACTAAACGTTTTGAACTATTTTCCAACCTGAATCATCTAATTCAATAAGAAAAAATCGAAATAACAACGATGGTGAAAAGTCGGAAGAACCATGCATAAGGGAATCACGAAATTACATGGAATTTTCACCATCGTGGTTTCATTATTTCAAAATTTTCATCCGTTTTTTTTGTTTGTTTTTTATTATATTTTAATCTCTATTCCAATAAAAGTGACTATTGAACAGTAATTTGTGTTAAGAGCTATTAAAGGAACGACTTATTGTTAACAGTTACTGCTAACAATGATATTTTTGTTAAAACGAGCTTATATAAGTATGAAGTCTCTAAATTCCCATCGGATATTGGGTTATGTATACAAGATGAAAAGAACATGCGGTTTATCAGTGAACGTACTGGCATGTACACGAGCGTTTTCTTCGTAGATCTATATGAAGCCTGAAACAGAACGTTGTTCAGTGAGAATTTAATGATAGTCTAGGAATGTGTGTGGATTCTAGATAAACAATGGCAATTAGAGATCTCTCTTCTAGTTCTAGCAGTCTTAAATCTGCTACAATTATTTTACTTGTTGTGCTAGTTATTCATATAGTTGGATTTTCTTTACCACGATGGATTTCTGTAGAATTTACAGTTACAGAACAAGAAGGGCAGACAACAGAAACTGGCTATCATGCTGGTCTCTGGCAACATTGCGGATGTGCAAAATCAAAATTTCTAGACACCGGTGCATGTCTATGTTTCTCCAGAACAAATGATCCAAGTAAGTGTATAGATTATTGACGTGCTGAGATATTTTCGTTCTGAGGTTTTACGCGAGATATTGCACAGACACGAAACCCTTTCAAAATTACTAAAAATAGAACGCTGCATATCATTACTAACCACAGATTAAAAGCTGTCTGCTAATAGCCTAAATTCATGAAAAGAGTCTACAGTTTATGTCTGTATATTTAGTATTTTACTTTGATGAACTATCCATTTCTGCAGACAAAACGATTAACTGATAGATCAAATCCATGAAACCTAAATTGTCATTGATTTGTTTTAAATCATCTTTTATTTATTTTTAACCTCAGGCATAAACTCAGTTTCATATATACAATTCAAAACTACCAATATTATCAAAAATATCAGAATACAGAAAAAAATGAAAACAGACTGGCTTAAATACATATACAATATGTATTTGTGTTCACATCTATCCAAATTATTCAGATATTCTTTAAATTCTAAAATGCATAACCCAGTCATTTAAAATATTTCGACTTCTGTAGAAAAGCCTGTAAAAATATAAGGCTTAACTTCAATTTTTTGCAAACAATTAATTTACTTCTTGGAATGGAGAAATTATTAGACAGTTACTTAATAATTAATTATGTTATAAAACATAGTAAAGATCATGAAGCAAAAACAATTGGTCACAGTATGAAACGTAAAATGCATACAAAGAATTATTCGTTGATTGCCAAGTATTTATTTTTCTTAGCCCAATGTTTTTATAGCTTTTGTCCATGCATCCCTTCTTCACAATTAGTATTTAGGAATCAAAGTAATGACATTGTGTTTTCTGTGTTTTGCCTTTTTGAGCATCCATAAATTGGAATAAGAATGTCTGTATGAATAAATATGTTTTGTTTTGTTATTAAAGTAGTAGCATTATATTTTGTTCCGCAACATTTTATTCTTTTAATGCAGTTTTCATGTGTTTTCAATGAAAGAAAAATTCTATGTTGAGAGCTGACCGTAGAGATGGAAACATCTCTTTTAATTTTATAAAAAAAAATATTTCATTTGAATATTTCATTTTTAATATATTCATTAGTTTTTTAACCCTTAACTTTTTTATTCACCATTATGTAATATCCTTAATTTCTACATAAAACAAATCCCAAAATAAAACAACAGACAAAAACATCAAATAATTCACAAATATCTGAAATATGTTAGATGTATTTTTTGCTAATAACAACTGCTTATTTTAACAATTAAAGTATAATAAATGTGAAATAACTTGAAGTTCTCTTTAAATTTGTTCTGGAGGCTTATCATGCAGTAAACAGCTTCTGTCTGTCTCCACTAAATAAAACATGAGTGACCTGAAATTGACCTTAGATTCTGCAAGGCGTCTTACGCGCAGTACAATTACTAGTATTTGGACTAGGTTTTATGAACAAAATGAATTTTGGAACGCCAGGTTAACTTTAACTCAATATTATGCATTGAGTTATCGTGAGTAATTACCAATGTCGATTACCAATAACCAACCACTCTTATCTAAAGTTCAACGGAGGAGGCGTAAAGGTTTCAATTTGTAATCAATACACTTTAAATTGATTGATTCTATGATGACTCATAATTTCTGCATATTTAACGAGAGGTTCACTCGTTACATTATTATCTCAGAAGCTCACTCGATGATAACCATTTTGTTTATATTCATTCCTCGGGCAAAATACTAAGTTCGTCAGAGGCAACCTTTGAGAATACAATGTATATCAAAAGAAAATCAAAGTGCTGCAGCACTGAATGCGACGGACATGAAACCGGAGAGACATTAAGGCTTTGTTTAGGAAAAAAACACAAAATATATAACAGAGAAAAATTGGTCCATACAAGTTCGAGATTTGTACAGCAATATATTTTGTGTCCCAAACTGATATAATTCAGATTTTCTTCTTTCAAGCATTTAAATACAGAATGAAATTTATGCCTAAAAACTCTGGTCAAACTTGTAAATCAGTGTCCTTATCGATTTATTCCAAGAAATGATATGTAAATAGAACAAAAAAACCGTCAACAAATTATATCTAAAATAAAACCATGCAAATAAACTTCAAGCATAATACATTGTACACGTGAGAATGCTATCATAGTGGGCATATAGACAATAAAATATAAGTCATTTGTATTTTTATTTCTCTTGGATATGTCTCATTAAAAATATTTTTGGTTAAAATCATCAGCAATAAATAGTGTATTTTTTATATTTTTTTATTTACAAGAGGCCAGAGCACATCGTTGTTATTTTAATTCAAATGTCACCTAAGCACTACAATGTTTAGTTGTCCTTTTCAATTTCACACTAAATTCCATTTTCAACTTGATTGCTTGTTACAATTGTATAGAATTTCTAAAAGTATTGCATATAATCCGCTGATTTATTACATCCCTAATCGCCTGTCCAAATAGATATTTATACAAACCATCGTTCTGTATCTAATTTACAAGTATTAATAACTGCTGAATATTCAGCTAAATCCGCGGTATGAGTCACGAAAATAGTTCTTCTTTTATTAATACGCGAGTTATTCTAAAGTCACGAAAAACTTTTGATTTGTTAATAATAATGTTTTGTATAATGTAGAATTTCCTACTAATAATTTCTTGGAACTCAGAGTTTACACCTTTATTATAGTATAATTTGCTGTCCTACTTTTTCGACAGCGGTAAATCGTTTCGGCAGTAATTTGCATATGGCGCAATAATACTACGGGACTACAACGTTTTTCTCAATCATATACGTTCATATTTTAACTTGGATAACTTAATTTGAAATTGAAAAGGATAAATATGGAAGATATTAAGATATCCCGACAAAGTATGGGAGTTTTAAAGGATCAAATTCATGTACTATTTTTTGGGCTGTTAATCGGTTGAGGACACCTTGCGCGATTGTAGCTGACGAAATCCCATGTGTAGATGACTTAGCTCTGAACGCGCCTGAGGGCGCGTCCGTCGCAAAAAATCATATTTTGATATTTATTACAGTAAAACTAAAATTTTTCACAGAAATCCCAATAATCTATCAAAAAGCATGAAATTAATATTTTTTATGAGTGTGGATTTTCGTGGTTGTCATTGTATATAAAGTACATATAATATCAGGTTTTTGAAATCAAATCCAATAATTTGTGTGTCCAGTATAATGATCATATTTTGTTTGATAACATTCCTGACTTTTTTATTTTCTTTACTAGTGTGGTTCAACATGGTACAGGCTGCGGAAACCCTCGGACTTATTGGACTAGTTGTGTCTATGTTATTGTCACTGACCACGTTGTTCTATCAACAGAACAAGAAGTTTATGATAGCCAACGTCCTGATTCTACTGGTCTCAGGTAATTGATAATAGTATAAACATGTAGTTTAGAACAAACGAAGTCAATAATAATCACTCACGGCCTCTCGACTCTTTCCGTCAAATTCCGGAGAAAACTTTTATTGGAGTCATAAAACTAGTTTCATATGTATTAATATTCTTGTTACCAATTTCATGTGCAATTGGTAGAAAAAATAGTCCCTTACGAATGCCAAAAACGGCAAAATTGAAAATGTTACATGGACGGTACTAGTAAGTTCAAGCTACCGTCAATGCACGTACCCTAGCATCGACTTGACCAGTATTCAACATTAACCACGAAAGAGGTGAAATTTGGAATTCGAAATATCCACTGATGTGTTCATGTGCATAAAATTATTTTGTTAGACGTTGGTGATACTAGTAGAGTAGAATTGAATATTAACGTATTGCATTTTCCCATATATCATCAAATGTTCCACATATTTTGCAGGTAGTTGCGTACTCAAATTTCGGTATTTAAGTGCCACATATGAAGACATAACGTCTTTTAGCGAATATTTTTATAGAATTATTATCATTTCAGGTACATTGGTGGTGATTGGTTTGGTCGTTTTCAAAGTCAAAACAGATACATTTGAGTTATTTAAAGACTTGGGTAAAATTGAAACATCAGAAATGGAAATTGACCAAGTTGACGCCAAGCTTAATTACGCTTATTTCCTGTGTGGTGTTGCAGGCTGCCTTAGTATACTCGTGTGCGCGCCTCTCTATGTGAAAGATTTATGTTCTTATTCCCCGGACACATTGAATGAATCTGCGGTACATTATACAGCTCAAGGTCAATGCCTTGTCCAAGGAAATATGGACAGCGGATATATGAGAACCTCGGATGAACAATATGGATTTCCACCAGCTTACGAGCAGCGTTATGTGCCGAACAATGCAGAACTGCCCTATAAATCATAACGTTCTCAAGCGCATACATACACGTTTTTAAATGCCTTGTACATAGCAAAGCTTTGCAAAGTTACACATGTATTTTAATACCTTTGAAAAGATACCTTTTATCACGGTGATATCACCGTAATTACAGGGTGGTGCCGTGGGGTACTTGTTGTGATTCAGAGAAGGGCATCGTTAGGCTTTGCATCCACATATATCAGACGATTAGACAATAACAATTAGGCCAATATTTGACGCTATGTATGCAAATTAGCACATGTACGGATTAAGGCGATAGCGGTGTGGATGCGATACCTACTGGGAAAACTGGAAATCTTGGGTTAATGCGTAGGACTGTGTACATTATGTAGATAGTCCACGAGTATGGTATTCTCGTGAGTTGTTTCGCTGAGTTAATAATTACACTTACTGAATTTCTTTCTATAGATCTATCTTTTGTGAAAATGCATAAAAATATAAACAAACGCAGAATGTTTTTTTTAGGAGTTTGTGTATATACAGAACGTTGATTCCAAGCCCGACGTCATGATTCGATCAAATATGGACAATCGATCCTCGATGCATGTATAAATAAATTTGTTCATCGTATATAAATAAGATATTTGTATATTGACAAAATGATGCGTGTGGTTCTGTGTTTGTATTATAATAGTGAATTGCTAGTATCGTTCGACTTCTGGTAATATTGGAATTGTGTCAGAGTTAAATTCAACTGTTAATGCTTCTAGGAATACTTTGATGTAAAAGAACATTATATTTGTGACGAATATTGAATCATACTAGGTTTCTTGATTTACAAAGAAATAGACAATACATCACGTATTGATTATTATTGTTTATTAGTTAGCGTTTACAAAATAAAATGAGTCAAAAACGCCTCGGTCTTTCGACCATTTTAATTAAGAAAAACTTACTACAGAAATACTAACCAATTAAGTGTTTGAAATTATTTTCTATTAAGAAATGATTTAATACGCAAATACCAACTTGTGAGTTTGGTTTTCATAAAATAAGGAGGTTTTATCTATATTTATGCATACAAGGAATGTATACCACATTATTAATATTATCACACGCTCAATAATTTTTTATGCCCCCGGGCATATAGTAATTGAACTGTCCGTCTGTCTGTATAAGGATAACCTAAACAGCAAGTTTTTTTTCTTGAGTTCTACCTGCACCAATGGCTTCATAATTCACACATTCACTAATCAGTTCAAAGAATACAATCTCCAGGGGCAAGTTACATAACCAGGCTTCCATTTTTACCAAGTTATTGCCCTTTTGAGCACTTTGAAAATGAAAAGATTAACCAAAACCGTCAAATTGGATATATCTTAAGTTCTGTCTATACTATTGGCTTCATAATTTTCACATGTACTTCTCGGTACCAAGTGCATTGATATTGCTAGGTAATATTACTGTGTCATCCATTTTTCACAGTTATTTCTCTTTTATCACTTTGAAAATAGGGCATTGTATGGTTAACCTTTTTAGGCAAGTTGGATATATCTTAAATTTCTCCTTAATACTTCTTTTATTATGCCCCCGGGCATATAGTGATTGAACCGTCCGTCCGTCTGTCCGTACGAGGTTAACCTAGAACGGCAAGTTGGATTTTTCTTAAGTTCTACCTGTACCAATGGCTTTTAAGTTTACACACTTACTAATCAATACAAAGTACATGATCTGGGCAAGTTACATAACTGTGGCTTTCATATTTACCAAGGTATGGCCCTTTTCAGCACTTAGAAAATGAATAATGGTTAACCTAAAACGGCAAGTTGGAAATATCTTAAGTTCTATCTATACTAATGGCTTTATAATTTCCACACTTACTTATCAATACAAAGTACATGATATTGCCAAGTTATATAACTGTGTCATCCATATTTCCCAGTTATTTCCCTTTTTTCACTTTGAAAATAGGGCCTTGTCTGGTTAACCTATTTCGGCAAGTTGGATTTATCTTAAATTTCTCCTAATTGCTTAATTTCTTTAATGATATCTTTCATATTTAGTAGGTGGATACCTTTGATGGTCCTCTAATTTTTTGTGGAGTGAGCGGTATCTAGGGTCAAGGTCAAGGTCACTGATTTAAAAAATAAATATAAACATTTTTGCTCATACAGCGTTTATATTTTAGTTGATGTTTTAGTTTAATACAAGCATGGGAGGTCCTCCTTCTTTGGGTGTAGTAAGGGGTCATTTGGGTCAAGGTCAATGTTACCAATGTCAAGGTCACCAATGTTAAAATTGATTTTTACAATTTTACAGGTGTATTGACCTTATTCTATAGACATATGTTATTTATAATTGATAGAAACATAAACTTTGATGGCCTTAGTGGTCAGTTGGGTCAAGGTCACCAGTTCTAAAAATAGATTTTTACACATTTGCTCATACAGCCTTTATTAAGTGACAAATATATTTTATATTTGGTAGGAAGATAACTTGCATGGTCATCATTTTGATTGGGGTATGGATCAGTGGGTCAAGGTCACTTGTGCTAAAAATAGATTTTTACACTTTTGCCCATACCATTTTTATTTATTGACAGATGTTTTTCATATTTGGTAGGAAGATAACTTGCATGGTATTCTTCCTTTGGATGGAGTTAGTGGTCAGTTGGGTCAAGGTCACCAGTGCTAAAAATAGATTTTTACACTTTTGCCCATACAACCTTTATTTATTGACAAATATATTTTATATTTGGTAGGAAGATAACTTGCATGGTCATCATTTTGATTGGGGTAGGGATCAGTTGGGTCAAGGTCACCTGTGCTAAAAATAGATTTTTACACTTTTGCCCATACAGCTTTTATTTATTGACAGATGTATTTCATATTTAGTAGGAAGATAACTTGCATGGTATTCTTCCTTTGGATGGAGTAAGGGGTCAGTTGGGTCAAGGTCACCAGTGCTGAAAATAGATTTTTACACTTTTGCCCATACAGCCTTTATTTATTGACAGATGTATTTCATATTTGGTAGGAAGATAACTTACATGGTATTCTTCTTTTGGATAGAGTTAGGGGTCAGTTTGGTTAAGGTCACCATTGCTAAAAATAGATTTTTACACTTTTGCCCATACAGCCTTTATTTAATGACAGATGTATTTCATATTCGGTAGGAAGATAACTTGCATGAAGTTGAATATTTTTCAACTTCACAAGTCAGAGCAATGACTTGGCAACTTATATTTCTCACAATAACAAAATGCTATGACTTTGTCAAGCTATATTATTTTTGTTTACAATTTTTTGGCAATTTTTCTGTCCTTAACTGAGTGAATGGGTAAACATTTTTTGAAATATTGCTTCTGACAAGAATCTGAGCCGGGGGCATTTGTGTCTAACAAACACGTTCTTGTTTACATTGTGATACATTGAGGGACTTTGAAATAACCTGGCACAAATGTGTACTACATCAACAGGATGTGTCGCATTCATGAACCACGTCCCTTTTCAAAGGTCAAGTTCACCTTTTATTTTGAAGGTTCACACTATCACAACTAGAGATAGGTACACACATTCGTGTCCGGAATATACTTTGTAACTTTGTCATGCATCGAAGGATTTTAAAATAACTTCTAAAGCACAAATGTCAACCACATCTCGATGATGTGTTGTGTGTAAGACCCATGTTCCTACCTCCAAGGTGAAGGTCACTCTAATAGTTTGAATGTACTTAAGGTCATAAGAAGAGTTTGAAGGTACGCATTAGTTTTCAAACTGTAAAGTTGTCACGCATTAGAGGATTTTCAAATAACTTTGCATAAATGTCTATCACATCAAGGTGATGTGTGCATCCAAGACCCTTGTCCCAAGGTGTTAAGTTTGTTATAAAAAGTACTTCATTTCACAAGAACAATGTTAAGCAATTAGTTATTTTCATGGGGGCGTCCGTGGCCGAGTGGTTATGGTCATTGACTTCAAACCACTTGCCCCTCACCGCTGTGGGTTTGAATCCCGACAGGGACATTGGATTCTTTCATGTGAGGAAGCTAATCCAGCTAGCTTACGGAACGTCGGTGGTTCAGTGCATTATTTCAGGCACAAACGGGCTCCTCCACCAGTAAAGCTGAAACGTAATCATATTACCTATACTGTGTCAGTGTGACGTAAAACCCAATCAAACAAACAAAGTTATTTTCATTCTGTTTTCTTTTCATAATACCTGCATGCTTAAGAACCCTTTTTTGCGGGATATGTCACTTGCATGACAACTCTTGTTTATACAGCATTACAGTATATTTTTTCCAATGTCTCATATTTATGAGAAACATAGTTTCATTATGTGGTTCTTTGAATGGAGTTTGGGGTCACTGGGTTCAAGGTAAAGTCCTGCATTTATATATATTTGATAAAGTTGATATTTCTGAACTTCATCACAATTTATAACAATAACTTACCAACTTAAATTCTTCAATACGCCATGACTCCATGTCAAGTTATATAACTTTACTATTTTTTTGGCAAATTTTCTGTGAATGACTGAGTGAATGGGTAAACATTTTTTGAAATGCTGTTACTGATAAATAACCTAGCTGGGTGAGGGCATAATATTTGTGTTTTCAAACATGTTCTCATTTGTCATTGTTTTAAATCAAATCTGGACTGTTATTGTCAAAGGGTTGTTTGTTGATATAAATGTATGAATGAAATCAAAGTGGCTTATTTATTTGCTGTTTTTCACTCTTTGAGTTTCTTTTTGTTCAGACGTATGAACAAATTTGCTTCAAAATAACAAACATAATAGCTTAAGTGATACAGTGTTCATACATGTGAACAAAAACCTGCCAATTTAAAGAAAGATATTTTTGTTCATACATATGAACAAAATCGGCTGATTTTTGTGCTATATTTTGCTCTGTGAGTTTGTTTTGTTCAAACGTATGAACAAATTTGTTTCAAAATAACCACAAAATTACTGAAATAATGCAGTGGTCATACGTATGAACCAAAACCTGCCATTTAGTGTAAAAAGTTTGTGTTCATACATATGAACAAAATTGAAGTGCTAATTTATACATGTGCTTTTTTCGCTCTGTTAGTTAAATTTGTTCATACGTATGAACAAAATCGAAGCAGTTCACTTATATGCTATTTTTCACTCTGTGAGTTTATTTTGTTCATACGTATGAACAAAATTGAAGCTGTTGCTAATTTATGTGTTATTTTTTACTATGATAATAAACACTGCATAATTTCATAATTTTGTGGTTATTTTGAAAACATATTTTTGTTCATACGTGTGAACAAAACAATTGTTCAGACGTATGAACAAAAATATGTTTTCAAATAACCACAAAATTATGAAATTATGCAGTGTTTATTATCATATTATATGACTGTATGAAAAAACCCTCACAAGTTTAAAAAGAAATTTTGTTCATACGTATGAACAAAATCGAAACGGCTAATTCTTTGTTGTTATTTTTGCTCTGTGAGTTTATTTAGTTCAGACGTATGAACAAAATTTAAAAAAAAAAACAACATAAAATTATGAAATTATGCAGTGTTCATTATCATATGTAAAAAAAAACCTCACAAGTTGAAAAAGAAATTTTGTTCATACGTATGAACAAAATCGAAGCGGCTTATTTTTTGTTCTTTATTTTCACTGTGCAAGTTGGTTTTGTTCAGACGTATGAACAAAATTTGTTTCAAAATAACCACAAAATTACTGAAATAATGCAGTGTTCATACATATGAACAAAATTGAAATGCTAATTAATGTGCTATTTTCGCTTTGTGAGTTAGTTTTGTTCAGACGACACGTATGAACAAAATTTGTTTCAAAATAATCACAAAATTATGCCAGTGTTCATACGTATGAACAAAAACCTGCCAATTTAAAAAGAAAAATAGTT